AACAAAAGATGAGGCAACCCACCATTGTGCCAGGCTGCACATGCTCAGTAAGAACACCTGGAACCCTCTGGAACAGGACTGACATTGCCTGGACAGACCCTCCCCATAGGAGATCAGAGGTAGTCTGCCCCATAAAAAGGGGTAGTGAAGACTGACTCCTTGGGACGCCTTCTCCATCCGGACCCCCACCATGCCACACCACCCAGAGGCCCTGCCAGCGACCCCCCTCTGGACAACACCTACTGGAGAAGGGCCCCTTTCCAGCCTGGACTGGTAGCTATCACCCCGACCCTCTCTTCAACCAAGGAGTTAGACTCTGTTTCTCTTCCCTACCTGGACTCCAACCTTTCTACTGAGTTTCTTTCTCTTGTGAGTGTTTGTGTTTGTGTGTGTGTGTGTGTGTGTGTGTGTATGTGTGTGTGTAGGAACCAAAACTTCATGAGGCTGTGTAGTGTTGTCTGTTTAATAAAACTGTTATTTGGACCCCTAAGTTGGGTTTTGCTTTATTGTGGTTCAGCCCTACTCCAATCTCAGCTCCTCGCCCCTCTAACTTATGTCTCATTTCTCCCTCTCTCACTTCTGGCTCACCGCCACCTCCAACACCTGTCCTGAACTCCTCTATGACTGCAAACCGCTGTTTTTTTGCTATTGCCTTATCCCCACTGCCTTTTCCCCGATCTCTGCCACTGTATCCCCACTGCCTTTTCCCCTGATCTCCCAGCTTCCTACCTCTGTCTCCTGGCTGTTTCCTTCTTGCCACCAGGCTTTTTCCCTTGCTTCCACCCTGGCACCAGGTGACCCCGAGTAACCCCGGGGCCACTTGACCTTAAGTAACCCCAACCCTCAGTTCCTCAGCCAGCTTCTCTCTAGTTTACCGATTGTAATCCTGGTTCCAGCAACTTTCACTCCTTACACTCTCTCTCTCACCTTAACCTTTCCTCAGGTGTCCCAAACACACACACACACACACACACACACACATTGTATCATCCAAGTTACAAATTTACCTGTGTGTATGTATAGGTGGGTTCTATGTGTGTGAACTGGTGTGTGTGTATATATGTCATTGTGTGCATGATATACAAATCAGTGATCCGCATATGTGTACTGAGTGTGCGGGTATTGACAATTGATTTCCGTCTAACTTTTGGGGTGTATAGTATATAGGTGCTTGAATTGGTGATAGGTATGCATGTGCCTAGGCTGGTTTGGATGTGTGTGTGCCTGAGTTGGTAGTGTGTGTGTGTGTGTGTGTATGCATGCACCTAATTGATTTGTGTGTTTGTATATGTGCAATTGTGTCACACCCTCCTGTCTAACAGCGCAATATTGAAATCAAAGAAGGAACTATTTTATTTTCCTTGCTGATTTATGCAGCTATGCACCACTACTTAGAACAGATTTTGATCTAGATCTGATTTATTGCTTTTAATATATCTTCTATTATTGTATCAACCGTTGTACAGAACTAATTTTCCCACCTGAAAAAAGGACCTATGTGCTGTTCTTGGACAGTACATACTATTCTCTTTAAATGGTTAAAAGAGCAGTTATTGGGTATGTTAGTATATACTGGAGCTTCGTATGGGCCTCTTGCTTTGTATATTTTCACATTTGCCCATTAATGCTCCAAGAAGCATGTTATTGAAATGGTTTTGGTACCATGAACCTAGTATTTTAGGGACTTTAGACTTCCTATTTTAGTCTGGTTTTAGGCTTGGAAAGGAATAAAGTGCATTGATCTCAGTACTCTGAGTGATGTACAAAGATCAGCTGCCTGGGGTGATATTTAAATACCTGTTTCTCTTCAGGCACAGGAACTAGGGGATACAGGTAGGGGGTAGAAGAAGCAATTTTGCCCTTGGACAATAACCTCCCAGCAATGCCTGCAGTAAAATATATATGCTGATTCTTGCACACCCCTAACAGAAGTGGATGAGGTTACTCTTGAATAGCTTCCATTCTTCCAGTGTGAAATATCAATAAACTTTTGGGGAATTATTTATCTTCCATCAGAATTGCCTCTTGTACAGTACAATAACATTTTATCTTGATCCATGTGACCTGATGAACTGCAATAGTAAAGATAAGTGGTTTGTCTGAGATTGCAGTTAGATGAGGGCTTGCTGCATGAAGATCAATCCAAAAGTAGCTTTGAGATTGAGGAAGCAATCATGAAACCTATTTTTGAGGGATTTGCATCCACCTTTTATGAGGCACATTTATGTTTGGCATTGTAGCTAAACTGTTCCTGAATGTTCAGAACGCAAGTTTGTGCATCTGGTAAAAAAAGTGTATTATTGCCAGAGGTATTTAATAAGTCTGTTAAATACACCATAGTTCTGGGTCCCTCAGGCATTGAAGGAGAGAGAGCATGGCCCAGTAAAATGAATATAAAATAGAAGTTAGTTAGTAACTTTTAATTTTTAGTTCCAGCTTTGTTGCTAGCTCGATTTGTCTCCTAAATAAAGTTACTGAATATGTCAGTTTCTGCATTTTTAAAAGGATGGTAATGTATTTTTTTTTACTTCTCGAGTGTGTTGTGTAGTTATGATTAGCTACTCTGTGTGTGTGGCATTTTGAAAATTATGGGGCTGTAATTTTTAGTTAATAAGTATTAACCCCAGCTACATTCATAACCTTATTTTTCTTATTATTGAGAAGCCATAAGCATTACCCTTGAAATTAAGCATTTAAATATTCATCTTAAAATCTGAGATTTTGACCAAAAAAAAATCTTTTGACAGTCTATTACTCTGAGGTGAATGCCAGGATGCTGGAAGGGTTTTTCATTACTGGACTGTCAAACCTGGCTAAACTCAGTCTGTTCTAGGTACAGGTCTGAGAGAACTGCAGCTGAAAATATAAATGTACCAAGGGGGTTCTTGATAAATGGTTATTTATGAGACAGTTTGTGAATGAAAAATGTAGCAATGTAGGATTATAAATGGACCTGTTAACATATTTCACCAATATTTCCTCTGCTTTTATATTATATTTTACCAAAATTGCAGGTTCTAAGATTAATCCTCCCCTGCCCCACTTCTTTTTTTTTTGGATCTTTGATATCAAGTGATCCAGTGCATACAATTTTAGGACTGGAACCCAGAATTAAATAATTTATTTACCATCCATTATGTAATACTTAGATCCTGGTTCTGGTTTTATGGCTATCTTGATTTGACTTGAGAATAAATATCAAAGCCATATATGAATGAAAATAAGATTTACAATACTTTCAATAATTAGCAGAGAAAGAGAACAATACTGAATCATCATTTGTGATGAACACCATGCCCACTTTCCTTCAATCATAGAAAAAGCACAGAAGAAGGAAGCAGCTGTTCATTCTTCCTACCTTCAGTAACTTGAATATCAAAACGTATCAGAATTCTGCAACTAGATCTCATACTGAAATGTTCAATTACTTATCTTGGGCAATTATTCATCTTCCATTAGAGCTGCTTCTTGTACAGTACAATAGCATTTTATCCTGATCCATGTGACCTGATGAACTTCAATGGCATAGATTACTGAAATAGTCTTATACTGAAATGTTCATGCAGTATGCACCTTCCCCCAAAAAACTTGGGATAAGCATCTTAAATGATGAAACGGTTTACTTCACTGGAAAAGAAGCATGCCTGGAAACTCTATGCATGCCATGCAGTTGCCAAGTTGTTTACGGTTAATGTCTGGTTTATCAATCTGAAGGACTGGAGTCTTGTGTTAACCCTTTCATGGCCCTAACTACTGGATGAACACCAAAGCTTGTGCTTGAAGCAGCAAGTATCTTGATGAGGCACTTAAATTTCCTGTTACCTCACTTAGACTGTCTCCTGAAATGCCAAACTTCCGGTACACTCTATATTCCTGAAGACTTACTCTATATCACACCGTTGGTCATAGAATTGCCTCCCTCCCACCAAGACCTCCTATATTCTTCCTTCCAAAAACAAGGTGCAGCTTTTATGGAAGTGGGGGAGGGAAAATAATGGTCATTTTTTTAAAGACACAACACATACTTCGAACTATCTAAGGTTCCTTCTCTGTTGAGTCATGGGATCTGCAGCCTCAAAACAGTCACTTGCTGGGATAGCTTTTTAAAAGAATATCAAGTGTATACTGTTCATTTCTCCCCTAGAGAAGTTCTATACAGATATACTGGAGAAAAAAATAGGGAATAGTTGATGATTAAATTACAGAGATTTCTTTTAAGTTAATTTCTAATATTGCATCAAGGAAATCAGCAGAATTTACACAGTCTATCTTCTGTGGCCTGGGGCCAATTGACTTGCACACATCTAGAGGAAAATGGCCAGTATATTAACCAATTGTACTGTCCCATTTTTTTCCTGGCAGATTTTTTGTTTTCTGGTTTATCTATTACTGTTCTATTCTGGGTTCGTATCTGCCCTTAACGTTTAATACAAAATATAATTATTCTACTATCCAGCTTGTATAAGGGTTTTGCTTTTGTGACTTTAATGCTTCATGACTGAATGGCAAATTAAAATATAGATCAATAAAATACAGATAAATTATCAAAATTTAAAAGCAACTGTTTTCCTTGCCATGTTGTAAAGGATACAGGGCACAGGACATTTTAAGAGAACATATATCCAAAGACATTTGGAATTCTTTTACAACTTGTGCATTCATTTCCCATGGATTTTTTTCTGAATAGTTATATAATGAGTCTGTTTTGGATACATTCTCTTAAATTCTTCTATTCTGTGCAAGTTCTTATACTACCGCCATTGCCATAGTATCTGACAGACTTTTTAGCAGTGCATTAAGCAACATGACTAACATTTGTAATATGTTTTGTTCTCCTCTTTTCTCCCCAGGTAGAGAATAATGAGGTAGTGTCTTGGTTTCATTTAAATGGGTCCACCAATAATATTTAGTTTGTAAGTCTCCCCACAAAAAGCTTCCAGAAATATTAAAAAAGAAGAGATCTCACCAGGTTTTAAGACACAACACAGCCTCCTGGATTAAACGATATGGAACACTTCATGAATTTGAATGTCATCCTTGCTCAGGGGCCATGCTCATTTTCTCATATCATTCCAATTTTAGTTTATGTGCTGCCAAAGCGAGAATCAGTCAGGACCCGCATAGTCCCTACGGCTGTGCAAAACACCATTTTTTCATTTCAATGTCCATTTCACCATTTTGAAGGGACAGTGTTTCATTTCATCATTTTATTTTGTTTTGAAGTACTGTCCCGTTTCATTTAGTCTAAACTGTTTCGCTGTTTTGACGCGTTTCAATGTTTCACCCATAGGCTATAATGGGGAATCATGAAAATGCCTAAAATGTTGTCATTTCTTGCCTGATTCAGATGAAAACTGCAGGGATGATAGCTCCTTCTGAGAGCATAATGTCTCCCAAGTTTCAAGGAGATAGGTGCAGAGGTTTCTCAAAAACTACACCTCAAACTGCAAAAAGCAAAACTCATGACACTTGCTGGCAGCGGCAGCCACCTGTCATCCAGCATTCAGATCCAGGGACCCGAACCCCCAAGAGGACTGCAGGGTTGTGCGAGACTCCTCCTGGGGGTGTGGACCCCTGGATCTGCACCAGATGACAGGAGGCTGCTGCTGCTGCCTGAGACCAGTGCTGGGCACAGCCCATGCCCAGCGCCAGGCTCAATGGAGCTCAGCCCAGCCGTGGGAGGTGGAGCTCAGCCCTGGCTCTGCCTGCCTCCTTCCAGTGGGCTGTGCTCTGTGGGGCTGGTGGAGCCAATCAGAGCACAGCCCTGGCTCTGCCTGCCTCCTGCCAGTGGGGTGTGCTCCATGGGGCTGGTGGAGCCAATCAGAGCACAGCCCTGGCTCTGCCCACCTCCTGCCAGTGGGCTGCACTGAAACCCCAGACCCTAGTAAGAAGGCAAAGTTGAGGCCAGGCATGCCTAGAGAGAGCCACCTGAGCCTACAGGGGTGTAAGACCCCATGGTCCCAGCACAGGGGCAGAGTGTTGGCCCCGAAAGCAGAGTGGCTCCATGAGGGTTTAGGGACAGAGTAAGCCCAGAGTTTGGTGAATTGATTGGTCACTGCTCAAATGAGGGTCATGGGAGAGACCCAAAAGGCTGAGCCAGGGCCACTCAAGGAGTGAAGAGATAAGTCTGATGGCCTACATGGTGACTCAAAGGGAGCAGGGCAGGGTGTATGTGGCCCAGAACAGGGCAATGTGAAAGAGGCCTGGTGAGAGGGGGTGGAGTGCCAGAGGCCCCAGTGAGAGAGGGGTGGAGTGAGTTTGGCCCAGTACAGGGCAGTGTGCAAGATGCCTAACAATTAACTTATTTAACAACAAGGCATTGCAGTCAAACTAGGTGGGTGGTTTGCCCATAGACAGGGGGCAGGCCAGTACTTGGACTGGGCCTGGGAGTTTGCTCATTTCACATTTTCATTATGTCTCTAGTTTACTCCAAACAATTCCTATTACTGTAGAGTAGGGCTGTGCTAAATTTCACTGGCTGTTTTTATTCAACACTGTTTCAACACAGTTTGAGCTCAAAACAGTGAAATTGAATCAAAATGATAGGGCTTCAAGACCGCCTCAAAACAAAACAACATTTTTGAAACATTCTGAGTTTTGAAGCAGCCAGCAGTCAGGTGGTGAGAGATAGGGGAGAACCAAGGCTGTGTTCCTAGAAGCAGCCAGGAGCACAACCCTGGCTCTCCCCATCTCCCGCCGCCGGGCTGTGGGAAGCCAATAACAGCGCAGGGGGAGGGAACTGAGCCGAGACTTAGTTCCCCTCTCCAGCGCTATGTTCAGTTTGGGGAAAGGAACTGAGCCCGATCGCTCAGTTCCCCTCCCCAGCCCTACGATTGGGTTGACACCCCACCCCCAGCCTAATCTAGCAAATGTTGAAACAGTGACAAAACAGCCTCACTGTTTTGACGAAGCAAAACGGAACAGAATCTACAGTTCTTACTATCTTATCTGTTTGTAATTAATGTTGTGCAGAACAGTGTCTATTTCATCTCTTCCCAGCCCACCCCTAGCCACCCAGAAATGTCCTCAACAAATGTTTTTCTCTATGCATGTGTTTGAAATTCCCATTACAATATTCAGAATGTAATACAATATTCAGAATCTAATATCTAGCTAGTCTCTAAATGCTAGTATGCGGTTGTGCATTTTAAGTAGGGCAGAAGGAAGTGGAAGGGCAGAACAAAGGGCAGAGTATGCCTCCAATGAGTTGCATATACTAAAAGATACTTGGCAAATTCCAGAACATGCGTGCAGTAAATTAGAAGAGATGAGAAAATAGAGTCCTTTGAATCAAATGATTATTTAAGATGTGCTCCATTGTACATACTAATAAAGCATTATTGTTTATATTAATTTAAGCAAAATTTATGGCATAGTTGATGATATTTATCAGCATGATGCTGGTATGGAAATTTAGCTAATAAGAAAAATAATGAACCCCTGTGCAGTTTCAAATTGCTTAGCGGTAAGGATTTAATGTAAAATTTGTAATTTGTTTTCAAGCAAGATTATGCAAAATGTGCAAAATCTTTCTGTAGTGCTTCACATTTATATGCCTTATCTACACATGTTGGAAAGTCCAGACTCATTAAAGCTTCATTTAAAGATTCAGAAATGCACATGCTATAATAGACTTCCTTGGTATCATTAATCAAAGTAAAAAGGATCATTAGAAATGTTTAAACAGGCCATCAAGTGTAGAGTTAAGGACACCTTAAAATTCATATTGTAAACTATACAGGAGTATTGAGGGAGGAGAGTAAGTGAAATATAAATTAATGTAATGTGGCTTCTTGATTAGTTTCACAAATCAGAGAACATGCAACTGTCACTATATGTTTTCTAATTAAATGTATCTTAATTATATCTACTTTGAACTGAAGTGTGTTGGACAACAAAGTCCAGAAGGACATGTTGGTCTTAAGAAAGCTCCCCAGGAGTACCTCACAAACTTAGCAGGAAATTGGGGATTTTCAAAACATAATGTTTCCATGGAATGGGTATAGTCCAAGAGACAGGGTTTTTTCCGCTCCAGATTTAGCCTTGTCTATTTTTGTATTAAATCATAGAATTGGAAAGGATCTAAGTCATTTAGCCCAACCCCCTGCACAGATGTAGGATTTGGTGTTTCTAAACCATCCCAGATGCATGTTTACCCAGTTTCTTCATGAAAACTTCCAAAGAAAAAGTTTCCAGAAGTTCCCTGTGCTACTTTGCTGTAAAATTTTTCATTTGTTTTCACGCAAGATAATGCAAAAGTTCAACATTTTATTATATTACTCCATATTTATATGCCTTATCTACACGTGTTGGAAAACCAAGATTCATTAAAGCTGTTGTTACAGTGAGAGAGTCTTTTCTTTCCTCGAGAATTAATCTAATTGTTTCATGCCCTGTCCTCTCTGGCAGGGGAGAAAAGTTGTTCTCTCTTTTTTTTATGGAAGCCTTTCAAATTAGTTGAAAACTGTATCATCCTTCCACTTGTAATCTCCATTTTTTCAAATTAAATATACCTTGTTTTCTCAACTGTCCTTCCTAAAACTGGCTTTCAAACTCCCTTTTTAGGGAGATGTGTTCACATGTATGTGTATATGGGTGATGAAAAACAGAGCACAAAATATAAAAGTTTTACTTGTTGGAAGATATGCAAGTTGTCAAAAGTAAGTTTAGCAAACATTTTTTTCATCTCGTGAAAACCAATGCAGGCTTATTTGCCTTATCACAGATGAAGACTATCAGTAAATTCCTTATGGATAAGTGAGGTGCTAGCATCTCATGAAGAATGGTTGATTAATCTGTACTGAAGGTATCTATTAACATGAACTATTTTATCAATTATCATCTTGACTTAAATTTGGTAATTTGCAGCTGGCTACAAAGAGGGTTGTGATGAAGGGAAAATGGTAGTAGCTAAAATGTTCAGATGTCCTTGAACCTACTTAATTTAGTTTTAAACCTGATTCTATCTGAAGCCTTTCCTACTTTTACTGGTGGATGATATTGGGGTAAAGGAAGTATTTATGCCAATTATTATTCTCTCACCTAAACTGGTTGAAAGGTTGTTGACAAAACAACCTTCTTTCTGAAAATGCCAATTGAATGCATTTCACAAGGATGTCAACTTTTATGGGAAAATATCAAGCATTGTGTTTAGATAAAACTGAAATCTTTGTTTTCATTTATTTTCCCAACTCTTATGTTACATAGTAATTTATACTAATTGTAATTATTATAATTATAACAACATTTTAGCTAATAAAAATCAATATCTGGGATCTCTGACGGGCCCTTTTGAAAAGGTGCCTTTTGGAGGAACTTACCACTCCCACTTATACTTACACTTACCACTGTATAGGGCCCATTGTTGCCCATCCCCAGTTTCCTTTAATCCTTGTCCTGGGACAATGTACCTCTAAATTAGAGGTGCATACCAGGCCAGTCTATTTTCTTATTCCCCACTTAGATTAAGCTATAGGCACAGGAAAGCTCCCTGTTGCAACAGCTGCTTGAACCGCCCCCTCCTCAATCCCGACTCCCACCTGACTGCCCTGCTGCAGCACAGCACAGCAGAATCCCCCCATCCCCAAATGTCACTGAAGCCCCAGATCTACAGACCATATCCAATGGCTCTATGGGCTGGTTCCACTATCCTGTGGTTCCATGGGCCATAGGTTGCCAATCCCTGTTCAGAGTTCTTGAGAACTCCTAAACTTTATAACCATGAACACAGACCATGATGATATTTTGTTCAATGTTCTCCATTTTTTAAGCTTGCCACAACCTTAGAAAACAGGCAATTTCCAGAAAGAATATTTGACAGTATATATTCTTCCTAGCCCCACCTGAGGCATAATGGGAAAACGTGGTGGGAGGGAGTGTGTGCCCTGAAGTTGGCTCTGATAAACCTGTTCTGTGAATAAAGACATGATAAAGAATGTTTGTTGTTTCATCTCTACTCACTGGACTATTGTTGTCACTAAAGTTAACATCATCTGTCAATTTGAATAGGCCACTTGTGAAGATAGTATTGAAAATAAAACCATGATTCGTCATGTGCTGTCATTTCATCAGGAGCTACAGCCCTTGCTAAAAGCCAAAAGGA